TAAACAGGGCTAGGGCACGTGATTGTTGACCAGATTGTGGGTTAGGGGTAGGGGTAGGCTTAGCGCTAGCCCTGTTCACATCTCATGATCTTTGACCAAATTTGCAGTTGGCCATATTTTTTTTTAGACCTAACCCGTTCTCAAACAATTGCGTAACTGGGTCCCTAGCTTTCATTAATGATAAACAAAAACTCTTAATCACTGATTATATGAAATCTGTGAATTAAATGTTTGATTTACAATCAAATTTTAAAAAATAATTGTAATCGTTGATGAAGAGAAATTCTAGTCAAAGATTAGCTAATCTGACTTTTGAGAATGTCAAACTTAGTCAACTACTAATCTCTAACTAGCTAATTACTTATTAGACCTAATCACCTATTATTTTAGACATTGTTCGAAAATATGGGCTTAAGTGTTTAAAATTTTAATCAATTTAGATTGCCGAAAAATTGATGAAACAAATAATGATGGATTCCCAAAAAACTTTGTGTAATGCAGAGTGGCTCTAAACAAAAAAGCATAAAGTCAGGTCAGTATAAATTCGTTGTATTCTAGTAAAATAAAGTAAACGGTTTTATAATCACGTAAATTGTCTCTAATGCACTGAAATGTATGCAATAGAAAGTTACTACCGTACCATACTTCTCGCAGTGTTTCGTTTGATTAGACCTAATCCCACTTAACACTGCTGTAATGAAACAAATGTCTGTTCCAAATTATGACTGGTCAATAGTCCGATTAACCAATAGCTAACTGCGTAACAATATCATTACGCTTTAAACAGAGCTCCAAATTGGACCAATGTTTACATAACGTTACGTCATGACTCACGAAATGTTTTACGGCCAATTAACCAGTACATAGCAGAACAATTACCAATTGCGTGACAAACGAGGCTATCAAACGGCTACAATGTAAACAATACTGTTTGGAGACGAACAATACTTTCAACGTTTTTAATACCTTAAATCACTGTCCAAAGTTTTAGGGAAGACCCCAGATTAAACGAAGTGTTGCCATGTTGATGTACTTGGGAGAGGTTTGATTGAACGGGAAGAATAGACACACTCCCTCGAAAGCTTAAGTAATTGAAGTATCAGAAGTCAATCCAGAGAGGGATTTCTCGGGCCATTGCTTCAGGAATATGCTACCGTAATAGACACACTCCCTCGAAAGCTTAAGTAATTGAAGTATCAGAAGTCAATCCAGAGAGGGATTTCTCGGGCCATTGCTTCAGGAATATGCTACCGTAATGGAGTCGAGCATTTAATTTTTCCAAAAAGATGTGTTCATTTATTTTTTCCACCTATCTAACCGTAAAATGTGATTGTCTTATAATAGGCAACAGTTTCTATTAATTACTTTAAAAAATTCTCGCCCTATTGCTCAATTTGTGAAATGAAATAAAATGAAATGGTGTTTACGGTTCTACTTTTATGCACCGATTGGTCTAATAATGAAGACGGGCATATGAAATGTAAGGTTCAATGATGGAAATTCTACACGGAATGCGTCGTTACGGCTTGCTCTTATTTCGAATTCCTACTGTCACTGATTATTTTACGTGCACGACAACCTTTAAACTGTTGGAATTTGCAAATTGTATTTCGGCCACTGAAGACCCTCTTTCCCAGTTACCACGATACTGATATGCATGTTAGATGGGGGAGAGCAGCAAGTAGATGTCCCTCCCCACTCGGTTAATCCACAGTACTGCTGCACTGCAGCAAACTGGAAATTGTTTGGTGGACAAAGCAAAATGTTACAAGGTTAATCTGCCATAAACAAGTTGTATTGTGAATGTTGTGGGTGGTTGCATGGAAAGCATGTGCAAAAGAAGTCACGTGTTATCAAAGTTGATTAAATGTAGATTGTCATGTTGAAGTTTATTTTACTCAGATCCGTTCAACTTATCCGCTGATACCCGACAGCACACAAAAGTTCTAAGTCTGGTATTGTCAAGAGAATGGAAGCTTTTAAACACACTTTTAGTAAAATGGTTCATTCAAATCGATATGGTAATTATAGATTAATTGTAAATCTGTGTGTTTTATTTTTCACTGAGGGAGAAAGAGATTATTATAAGTGCATGTTGTGTAAGGCCTAACCAATCGCAAAACTTGGACATTTCAGTTTCAGAGTTGATGGTCATCAGTCCTGTCTGTCTGTCCAATCACCAGACTTTTGATTTGTTAACTTTGATCCTCTCAATCTTGATCAAATTGTACATAAATTAGCTATATGCACACAAGATCCCATCAGCATATGGAAATTGTTCCCGTTTCGAGATAAAAGTGAGCACAAAAAATCCTGCAATCCAATTGCATTTCTGGTGATGCAAACCATGCCCAAAATTGAGTTAACTGTCTAAAATAATCATGGCAGTATCTGTTGTATTGATGAAAGTGAATATATAAATTTAATGTTGATCAAGGGTGTATGATTTGTGATTTTAAGGCTAGGTCCAACACGGTAAATTAAAGGGGCATTATGTAAGATTAGATAAAGAGCTGACAGTTCTTGCTATAATAGTTAACCAGCGGCTGCCAGGCAGGATACGCCCACATTTTCGAGAGATGGATACAGAACAAGCTAAAAAGAAAGTGATTTTTCCTTCAATCAAGGGCAATAATTCATGAAGTTACAATTCGATATGTGCAAATATCGACAGGAACCAAAATCTTGGGGTTATAAACATGCATTTCAAGTTTCATCAAAATCGGATTAAAATTGTGACCTCTACAGGGTCCACAACCTTTGATATACCATATTTTTACACTATTCGCATACAAGCCGCGGCCATTTTGTCCAACAGTTTTGGTCCGATTTCACGAAATTCGAACTCGACCTTCATTACGGTGTAGCAGTGATATAATCAAACGGTTTTTTTAAATCGGGGGTGGGGTGGGGGATGTCTGAATGATAAGCATGTGCGCGCTGTATCATAAAGTCTGTCATTGAGTCAACTGGCATGGTTTCGAATACCCGGTTGTACATGACAAGAGTAGGGTCGCCTGTCCAACCACGTGGGTTTTCTCCGGGTCCTCCGGTTTCCTCCCTCTTCTAAAGACCCCTACACGCAAGCGAATTATTGAAATAAAATTGAACCATATGTTTGTCCCGAAATGACCTAGTTTGTGTCGCGTGGATGCTAAACCCAATTTCTCTCTCTTTTTAAATCGGATAATAATGTGACCTCAGGGGAACCACAGGCTAAAATTGGCGATTTCACGTACAATCTGGGACCATAATTCAGGAAGTTAAGATCTGATATGTGCAAATATCAAAAGGAACTAAGATCTTTGGGTTATAAACATGCATGTCAAGTTTCATCAAAATCGGTTCAAAATTGTGACCTCTATAGGGTCCACAAGCTACAAATGTGATTTTTCGTACAATCAGGGGCCATAATCCATGAAGTTTCGATCTGATACATGCCAATATCGAAAGCAGTCGAGATCTTTTGGAGATAAACATATATTTCAAGTTTCGTCAAAATCGGATAAGAATTGTGACCTGTAGCGTCCACAAACAATTGTGGACGGACGTCCAGACGACAATATATGTTCACATGAAAATGTGGGTATATAAAAAAATAGATAGTGAAATGGGAATATGTTGAAAATTTCAGTCAATTACTTCACACTGAGCCTATTTATCGTCATTACAATAACAGGGTAGCCTCGATTGTCACTGCTACCGTAGTTACGATAAAGTCACAATTATCCATTTTTATTGTAAATCATCAACCGCAGATCAGATTTAAATCTGTTGAAAATCTAGACATAATGGCATTGAGAGTTGGTTATGGTTTTGTTAAGTTAAAAATGTCTATTCATTTATATTAATAAACATACATTATGCAAGAGCTAAATCTGCCTATTACAGATCTTTCTTTAGGCCTCAAATGTAAATCTAAATTATTAATTAGACATTAATTAACTTATTCAGACCATAATCAACTCTCGATGTCATCGCTAGCCTGCAATATATACTGGATTAGGATCTGATCTGCTGCTCTACGTTCATTCATGATTTGTAATAATCCATGGTGGTCAGACTAGATTTCGGAGGGGGGGGATGGCCGAATGGTTAGCACATACGCGCTGTATCATAAGGTCTGTTATTGAGTCAACTGGCGTGGTTTCGACAAGGAGTAAGGTCGCCTGTCCAACCTCGTTGGTTTTCTCCAGGTCCTTCGGTTCCCCCCCCCCCACACTGCTAAAGAACCCTACGCGCCAGAGAATTATTGAAATAAAAATTGAAAATGGGTTAGTCCCTAAATGACCTAGTTTGTGTAGAGTGGACATAAACCCCAATTCTCTCTCTCTCTCTCACTATAGATTTCTGTTGGACAGCCTTGTCCTTCATCCTTTTAAAAAAATCAACTTCTGTTTGTGAAATTTGCTATGAATGCTGTTAAAGTTACAATTCCATATTTTCTAAGAAAGTCAAAACATAATTATTTCTATGTCTTTTGCTCAATAGGTTGTCAACTCACTATTATACGATCATAGGTTATCTTTCTCACACTTAAAAATCTTCACACCGGAAATAATAACACAATTACCTCCCTTGTTTTCCTATTCCCCACCATGGAATAGCTATCTTCAAACGTTTGAATTTGAAGTTGAAAATGATATTTTTGCCAATTTCTCAACTGGCAAGTGAATTATAGGATTAAGTGGATTATTCTTTAACAAGGTAGGACTGTTTATAGATACCATCTATTTTAGGGCTTTATTTTAATACATTTTAAAAATATAACTTAAAAATATGAAATTGTAACTTTAAGATGGCCCGTATTCAAATAATGTTGTTTGGCTCCATTTGAGCAGTCAAGGCAAATGTTACTTCTAGTTTATCCAATCAAAGTCCATGGATCGGGATAAGTAGGGTGCATATTTAAACATTTTTAATCGACTTGAAACCACACTGCTGGCCATTAAATGTAGAATAACACTGGTATAACAATTCAATTAATACATTAAGATTGATTAACTACTAAACTTAACTTTATTATAAATATATATAAATACAGGTATTCTTTAAATAAATTTACTTATATCACAGTAATTTGATATCTACATATAAATATATTTCTAGATTATGATAGACTAGAGTAGTAATAAATAATCCTAACTTACATAATATTTGTTTAAATTAAATCTTGCCCAATTCAGAAATGAACTTGGGAATTTGTATCGTATTCTAAAAATTGGTTCTGGCTTGGTTTTTTTTATTTTTCAGTCCAGTCCGTATAATCTTTTATACAATTTTTTTTTTCAATAGGTTTGTTTAGCACTCCTAAAATATTGTTTATGAATACAGTAATATTATGCACCATATTTATTTGGCCAATATATACAAGTTCTTAGAAATCGTTTTTTTGTAACTTGGATGATTTCTGAAACATAGATATTTATTCGTCTTCTTCAATGACAAGTGTTTCTTCTGCCACTACTTCATCTTCTGTTTCTTCCACTTCATGATCTAGATCTTCGGTAACAGTCTCCAAGACAATTCCTTGTTTCCCTGTTCCAGCTTTGTTTCTATTTGGTAATTTCCAAGCATTCCACACTCTGATTGTCTTATCCCATGATGAGGAGACATACTGACTTCGTTCAGCAATGTGTATTATACTACGAACAGCATCTCCATGACCAATATTTGTTTGCACTAATCGGTAAAACTCTGGTTCGTAAACCCTAATGATGCTTTGTATCCCTGCTATAATACTGCCATGTATTTTATCTATGCATAAACAGCATACACCTCCCTGAACTGATAAAATCTGCTCACACTCATTAAAACCTTCACTACTCCATATTCTTACTGTGCCATCCTCGGATCCTGTCACCCATTTATTACGAATGGAATTCCACTTCACAACAGTTACTTCCCCTTCATGACCTTGTAAAGTGTTTACTAAGGTCATTCTAGAGCCATTGGTGGAGAATTTTCGAATGTACACCATTTTATCACTAGATGAATAAGCAATTTCATTGGTTTTTGGGGAATAGGTCAAATCGAGAATAATGCCATCAGAAGCCAATTCAAGATTTTCAAAAGACCTTTGGGTGTTGCGAAATGTATCGTGAAGCTGATTTGTTTCTAAGTCCCAGATACATATTCTTCGATCCCAACCAGCACTAACCACATAAGTGCCCTTTTGTCCGTGATCCCTACCAACGCACACCATACTTGTTACACAGCTCATATGTTCCGAAAACACAGCTTTACAGATAAACCCGGCAACACGATTTGTCACAGAATCACTTGTTTCTTTAGAAGTTTGATTTTTAGGATGAATTTCGGAATCAATGTCTAACAACACAGAGTAGCGATGAACTAGATTGTCAATATCCTGTGGTTTCATGTTTTTCAGAACGAGGACTGCTGCTTCATCAAACCCCCATACATAAATATTACTATCTTCTGATGCTGCTAATATGTAGTCTAGTCTTTCAATAAATAATATTTTAAGAATGGTGGTATTAGGGTGCTTATGGGAAGACAGGGGTGGGATATTGGACTTATTAAATGCATAGTGACTGGTTATGACTTTTTCTTTGGACTGATTGTATTGATTTTGTTCACTTGCAGTTGAACCTGGTGTGGATACTCGTTCATTCTCATTCTTTACATTTCTGGATGATTTGGCACTACCATTTCTCTTTTTCTTGAGAATTGAGTCACTCAGTTGACATGTCTCTTTACTGTACATGAAATGGTTTGATTGCATTCTCTCCCATTTTATTATGGCCCCCTCACTGTCGCCACTAAATATCAGCAAGGGAACTTTTTTTGTGTAACAAAGACTCTCCAATGGTGCCTTACATTTCAAAGCAGTTATACATCCTGAAGAGTTATACTTCCACACAATTAAATGTCGTCTACTTGTTGTGGCAACACATTGGTTTAACTCTGGAAAAAATTTCAGTATCTGTAAATGATATTTTTCCTCTTCTTGGTTTTGAAAAGTTCCGATAAAATCTGAAACATTGTCTCCTGATTTTGGATCAAACAAGCTAGCATACGAAGTTCCACCTGCAACCCATACTATTTTGTTCCTGGGAATGTAACAAATGCCAGAAACAGTTGATATAAAGTTGTCAAGTTTATGAACAAATTTTCCATCGACAGACCAAATCTTGACACTCTTATCAAAGGAACCAGTTAAGATCCAAGTGTTATTTTCGTTATCTCTGGCCAATAATAAACATGAAATTCCTGCATCGTGAGCTTGGTGATTGATAAAAATGGGTTCTAAACTATTATCTCCTGTATATGAAGAATCGTAGATAACCATTTTTTGATCATAACCAGCAGAATATATCCTAGATTCGTTACAAATAATATTTCGAACTATGTCAGTATGTTCACTGGCAATATACAGTGGTTTCGTATTAATCACATGACCGCATTCTTTTCCCTCATCTAGCATGTACACCCGAATACCACCATTCACTCCACACACTAGTTGATGCCGCCTTGGATTGATTGCCATGCAGTATACAGGAAGTCCTATATGAACTTTATCATACACCCCACCACCTGATCCCCATGCCACAATAAATCCATCATTAGCAGAAGAGAAGACCAGTTTTGGTTCTAACCAATATAGAAAATCAGTCACCCATCCTTTATGTTCAAGAGAAGTCAATAATAATTTTCCAGTTTCTGATTCCCAGCATTTTATTAAGCCATCTTCACATCCCATCAATATTTCTCGGCGGACCGGGTTGTAACCAATGGCAGTTATTGCTCTTGTGTGCGTTTCGCGAATAACGTATTGCTTTTCCATCGCCATTTTGTTCTTCCATTGAAATATACACCAATATTGTAAAGTTAATTAAGCTCAAAACATAAACCGATTGAGGTCTTGTGGAAAAGGGGTGCTTTTTTATTTACATAGCAACCAATAGGCTTTCGCTCCTTCAAAGTTTAAGAGCGCGTTATAGGATTTATTTCCCTTTAATAGTAGTACCGATCGTCATGTCACCTGTAGACTCGAGTAACCGGACAATCACGTTTTACCTGAAATGAAATGAAATGGGGTTTAACGTCCTACTGTTCTGCTCCTATACTGGGCTAATGAAGACCGGCATACGCCATACAGTGTGCTATGAGGGAAATTTTGCCCGGGCAGCGGCACTATCGCCTACTCTTATATCGAATTCCAACTGCCAGGGGATCTTTTACGTGCATTCCAATTTATACACGGGACCCTAGGTTTTACGTCCCATCCGAACGACTAGACAACTGTCCTTGTCAGGCCCTCCGTCCTGCATCACTGACAAGGGGGAACCACGCCGGAAAATCTGGATGAACTTTCTCGGCCAATGCAGGGATCGAACACCCGACCTCCAGGCTAGCGAGCCAGCCGTGGGATCCTTTACTTCATTCATATACGGCAATTGAAATATTGAAGGTCGATGTTCATGTATAATATGTTTGTGAACATTTTTTAATGATATACGTTATTAAATCCAAAACGTTCCAATAACAAAATGAGCCTAAATTTTCTTGTTAAAGAGGCACTATTAGAAAGGTGAGATAAACTTTGACCAAACTTGAAACATGTAGGGATGTTTGAAAATCTTTTTTCAGAGACATACACTTTGATCTTGCAATTTTTAATGTAACAATATCAGATCTGCGGTTGGGAGTAATTTTTCCACGATCAAGTAACGCATCAAAGATCAATTCTCTCAAAAACCAAAAAATGAATTCGACAGATTTTATAGTGAACATGGGAAGGCGCCCGAACCTCTAGAATCTAGAACCCTTTAGAGGTACATTATGGGAGATAAAGAGATGGCAGTTCTCGCTATAATAGTTAAAAACTAAAGGTAATTTGCTGGAAATTTCAGTCAAATTGATCCACTATGAGCCGAGAAAGAAGCGGGTGAAATTTTTGCATAGTCTCGGTCACCATTACTAAAATCATTAATATAAACAGCATAGTCTCGATTATCCACTTTTTCTGATTTAATTATGGCCGTTAGCGGCATATAGGAATCTAATCCAGCCAACATCGAAGGCTAGTCTTGACATCGAGAGTTTATTATGGTCTGGATAAGTTAATTAATGTCTAATTGATAATTTAGATAACATTTCAGGCCTAAAGAAAGACCTGTAATAAGCAGATTTTTCTCTTGCATAATGCATGTTTAAAGAGGGCAATGACTTACAAAGCCACTTAAAGAAGCACTTTAGCTCGAGGGGAGACTAGTTTCGCGAGCAGCCATTCAGAGGCTTATCTCCTTCATGCGCCGACGTTGAATGACGTGTGCGAGGGGTGGACACACGTTACTTACTTCGATTGTACCCCTGTGTGCCCGGGACCCCTGGTTGCCTTTTTCTCAGTAAAGTTATGGCCGCCGTGGGTTACTAATTTCTACAATCGTGTGCCAAAAATCACATTTCGCCTGCATAATGTCTCCTAGCACTTCCAGCCAAATCATTGAAACGGGTATGAATATATTAAATTTTGAGCGTTAGTTGGTTGCAGTAAAGTCCGGTTGTAGCTTATGATGAAGTTGGATGTTATATTCGGTCCAGATATGCACCGCAAATCAGCACTGACACCATGATTTTTCATAATTTTCTCAGATGAAAACCTAAACTAACCCCTTCAACCAATTATCCTGCGTCCGCCACTGTCAATATATTTTCTCGGATTCCACCACACTTATTTGTTTCTTTAACGATCTTAAAGTGTTTGCCTATCAAAAAAATATGATGGTCAGTTAAAATGAAATACAAATAAAAGCAGACTATTCCAAACTGATCTCTATTAATCTTAATTACAGTATTTACATATTAAGCATATCTAATGGACTCTCAAACATATAAAGTGGCTCTTAAGTATGGTAACAAGATTATCTATATTTAGTAGTCGTTTTGAATGTAATTAACTTCGTGGTTATAAAAATCAGTGAATAGTATTAATAATAAACAAAACCCTGTCACCTCGAAAGTCGAGCAGGGTTCTACGTCTACTAATCACAAAAGTTCTGATTACATAATCTTTATGGCCTCGAAGACGATTAACGTCTATAAATCTATCAACCTCTTTATAATGGACGTAAATACCTAAATATTGTTAATCCAATTTATGGCAGCCTGTTAATTTGACGGGATTATTGACAGCTACTGGATATTTATCTATTTATGACAGTAAAGGCAGATTATGGTATACGACAGCTGAGTTTTTAAATAACATCTGTCAAACACGTCTCATCTATCAAAACTCGCTTTTGTAACGAATTTCAAGTAATTCTATTAGCTCTTAATCCATGCTTGGGGTTCGTGTTGGGGGGGGGGGGGCGTTAATACAAACTTTATGCAAGTCTAGCTTCGATCACGGGATTATGCCTGCGCGAATCCAGGACAAAACACCTTAGAGCGACTGTATGGTTAACCGAAAGTTGCCTAAAACTGCATCAGAGAAATTAACCAATAAATTAATTTTCCTGTCATAAGATTTAAAATTCGGTAAAAAGACATAAGCATTTATTTTTTAAATTTAAAATAGTATTTAATGAAAATTCATAAACAAAATCATAATTCCGAACAATAACAGAAAAATAACAAATGCAATATATCGCGTGATTGACATTTTGAAATTAATGTGTATATTATTAATGCACAGTAGTAATGCAAGTACTATCTCATTCTTATATAATATGCTATATAGGATGAAAATATTTCAAGCCCTTTTCTTGAATTCCATTATTATTTTTCTTTTAATGGGAAGTAAGATCTTACATAAACCCAGTTGAAGTAACTAAAATATGGAATTATGAAATATAAATCATATTGCAAAAAAAAAAAAAAATTTAATCAGATTTGTTATCTGTAATGTTAAGGAATCTGTACTTTCGAAAAATTTTCGTACCACATACATTTGCGATTTTACAGACAATTATGTTGGAAATACTGCAAGAAATTTGCCTGTGGTAGATGACACACATACCTTAATTTGAATTATTGGTGACAAGAGTTACAGAAATTATATTTAATCCACTGTCAACACGAACTGACTACTAATTTCCCCATTTCACAGTTTGTTACAGGATAGAATTTTGAGTGTCATTTTGTAAGATCGTGTTAATTGATGGAGCATTTTGTAGGAAAATATGACATCTCGCGACCTATGAAATGGCACGCATACCTTCATCGGAATTGGCTTAATATTAAAAAAGCATCCCCCCCTCCCCCGTTTCAGTTTTGTTACAGTACACGCACACGACTGATTTTCAGGTGGTGTTTTGTAAAATCGTGTTGAAGGACCTGGTGCAAATGAGTGAATCTTTTCGTGACGAACAAAATCGTTATTTTAAAAATTGGTATCTAATATTTAAATTTTAGCTGAAATTTTCTGGATAATAAATTGTAGTTATTCCCCTTGCTGCGCGACTGCATTCTCGGCATGATATAAAGACATAATCCAGTCATGGTGAATTCAATATCTTAAAAAAATGTGTTTAACGTTTCCTCAGTATTACCACATCTAGCAGATACCACGAGCATATTAATAAGCTAATCATTCTCGTATTATTTGCTTTGTGCTTGGAAACTATTATTTATATTTAATTTCGGCTGTGGAGGCAAAATTTTTATAATCGCCGTGGCATAAACGTAAACAATTTGAAAGGGGGGGGGGGGGGGTGGGCAACACAATGCAGTATCAAAATGCACTATGAAAAGATTATTAGTCTTGCTTATATTGAAACAAAAATATTTTGTTATGTCTTCTTTTTTATGTAGTGAAAAGCATACTTAATTCAGGAGCACTGTTCTCAAAAAAATATCAGCGCATTAACTGATATTACTCGTTAACTATTGCAAGTGACATTTCGCTTTTTTCTGTCTGTTGATGGGCATATTACAAAACATATCAACAATAAATTTTATACCTTCTATCCAAAAACGTCACCAAAGACAATTCTATTACATTTTATCCATACGTATTATTACCTTCCTCGGTGACGGATTAGTAGACTATATATTAGTAGACGTATTTCCGCACGCCTTCTCTTTATTGATATTCAGTTCGGATAAATACTGAATAAAAACTAAATAAACGTGTTTAAGTCAGTAGCTGCCTCCCTGGTCAAATTTATAGCCGAGCGATCTTCAACCGGGTTGAAGCTTCATTATGTGGAGTTATTCCCCTTTGTTTGTGTAAGTTTTCGGATGGGCGTGAACTATTGCGAAATTCTTGATTCGTTGCCGGTCGGGAAAGCAATCACGACGTGGCCTACAGATGGCTAAAAATAGATATTCTGGAACATTTTGGAATGGCATTCATAAAATAGTGTACATGTAGGACGATCAATTACATGACATATTTCCAATCATAATTGGCCTGTTTGGGTAGGGTAGGTATTTGCTGATCAAAGAACCCCACCCCTCTATCCATGTTTACAACGATGGTCGTATTATTGATCACCCGACTTTATTAAAGACGTGGCCATACACTCATTTAATTACAGGCGTCAACCTACTCGTTGTTAACTATTTTATATACACGACATATTACCAGGACTTATAGTAGTAAATGGATTATGTGGTCCTACAACAAGGGTGTGGTAGCTGGGTTTGGAATCAACATTCTCGAAATTGGAGAAATAACTCATCCTCTACATATTTGATATTCTTTATTTACATCTAGAATATGTTGAATAAGCATAACTGCCCCCCCCCCCCAAAAAAAAATAAAAAAAAAATTAAAAAGCCATTATATTTAATAATATTAATTGTAGTATATGCGTATTTAGAAATATTCTCTTAAGTTTATTACAAAGCTAATATTGGTTGCTGAATTCGTTGAATATTAACTTAGATAGTAAAATAAATAGTATTTTAATTTTAATTTGCCAATGTTTGTGTATCTATTGACATTTCGCAATAGTTCTGGCAACACGTGTTAAATAATCCTACGTCTCTTAACAACGCTCGTTTTGTGTTTACTTTTTGTATACGGCCGCGTATTCCGTGCCTCCGCCCATTTTTACCGATCAATCTATTAAGTATTAATAGGATTTTCTTGTTAATCCGCCACACGGTGCACAGTATTCGATCTTCTTCGTATGAAAATAACTGCTTGGGTTGATTTGTTATTTCTCTGTGTTTACTTGCCTACTAATGCATTCGCTAAATAGAAACAGAAAATGTCCCTATTTTGTATATAAAAATATATATAGGTATAATTTATTCATTTCAAAGTCTGAATAAACGGTTTTCCGTTATACACAGGCATGTTGTTCATAGAATTTTCTATAAACATACAATGAGTAATAAACGGCCAGTATTTTGAAATATTCGGAACGCATTTTCCAAATAATGTGTGACGGATGTTGTGTACTCTTTGCCCACCTCTCAATTCGTCAAAGTGTAAACAAGTAGCGCTAAATATCCAATATAATTTCATTGGTTCAGAAATATTCGCGCGCTTTTTCTATTGGTCAAGAGGCGAGCATTCACAGAATTCTTTATATCCTGGACGTTTGCCAACACGTTAATTTTGAATCCATCCGCTGAAAATAGTACAACGTCTGCATCGCATGGACATTTTATTCGCAAGGCAAACTTAATATATTGATAAAAATATATTCAATTGTAACCAATTCGCATATAATGTGATAAGAAAATTAACTTCATTTCAAATGAATATAAAATTGTTTCGGATATACCTTTCTTGAATAACATAGCTTGGCGGCTTGCCAAAGTGGGCGGGCCTGTCTGTCGCGTATGAATTGTGACCTAGAAAGAAAAGATTATACGTTGACGGGTTCAACGTTCATAGTACTGTTGTGTAGCCACATACTTTCAGATCAAAACAGTAGAGCTTCAGGGGAAGACGTACATATAGTTCTCTTAGATTGTTGTTTATGTACTGCCATACACATTACGCTGTGTTAGTAGTTACACAATGATGGGGAAAAAGATGGGATTTAACGGCGTATTCGCCTGTGCAAATAATTTCCACAACGAAAATGTCAAAGAAAGACAAGGTATGTGACGTTCATGGATTATTCTCCAGATTATCAACTTAGAATTGGCTAACTTATCGGAAATCATGGATAATTTTGTAATGTGATCGGACCTTGTTTTGTGTTTGTTTTGGGCATTGCGAAAATAATATAAATGTTTTTCTTTCTGATTTCAGCCAAGGATAGAGATACCTTTGAAAAATCTTATACAGTTGGCCAAGTTTTAGGAAGTGGCGGTTTTGGCACTGTTTATGCTGGTATTAGAAAAAGGGATAGCTTTCCAGTAAGTGTAGTTTACAAACTTGATAACTGTTCAAATATTGGAAGAAATTCAACACATCTTAGTACAAATACATCATTTGAAAAACTTTTTTTGAAAACTCCAAGATGTAGCCTATAGTACCACCTAACTTTTTTTTTACTGGTATTTAATACAATTGTCTTTCATTTTTCAGGTAGCCATAAAACACATAGCCAAAGAAAAAGTCAGTGATTGGGGACAGGTATGCATCTATTATTACTTCTTACATTGAAAATCATTAGCCCACTAATATTGAAAATAATTTTAAATACACATTATACACCATCTAATAATTTCAAATCCAGACTATTAACTCCAATTATTTCTCAAATTTATGTTCTTTAAACTTTTTTTTTCTAGTTAAATGGAGTAACTTTACCCATGGAAATACTTTTAATGAAAAAAGTTCAACATGTGCCTGGAGTAGTTAGAATTTTGGATTATTATGAAATGCCTGGTAGTTATATTATTGTGATGGATAGGCCAGAACCAGTGAAGGATTTATTTGATTTTATAACAGAAAAACGTGTTTTAGATGAAAATACAGCCAGAGACTTCTTTAGACAAATTTTACATATGGTGATTAACATTCATAGAGCTGGAGTAATTCATAGGGACATTAAAGATGAAAATATTTTAGTGGACTTAAAAACTGGACAATTAAAATTAATAGACTTTGGTTCTGGAGCTATATTAAAAGACACGGTGTATTCTGAATTTGATGGTAAGTTGTCGGGATTTGTCATTTGAATAATTAATGTCCGTTTATGAGAATAGGGAATTTTGTGTTCGAAACATTAGCGAGGAAAAATCTTTCAACATTCCGTAAGGCGGGGGACTAAGTCAATATGTTAAATATCGGAAGTTGGTTGGCGTATTGCCAAAACTGTCGACCACGCAAACAGCTATCGTTTTATTTGAGTGCGGATTATACAACTGATTTTAACTCTATTGGTTTTGATTCTACAAATTTGTGTATTTAGTTAAATGTTGGCTAATTTGCCCTAGCTGTAAACTCGCGAACGGGGGTTTTATAACATTGGCAGAATGTGGGACATATATGGCGGCTAGCGTAGTCGAAGACGGGTTGAATGTACTGTGGCGGTGCTTAGAATATCACATTTCAAACTATCCTCTAACGATATGTCTGCGACCGCATTAGGTCAACTATTTATAGAATACTCCGATACAATAGTAAACTAAAGGGAGTTGAAATGGTCGTCTGTAGGGCCTAATAGATCTGTACAGTGTAAAGGGCATTTCATTTTATGCAAATGTATGGTCCATGCTGTCGGTGATGCAATTTGCATTGTGTTTTCTCTCAGAGTCCGCGTGAAACAAAATTTGTTATATTTATAATCCGTGAATACTCTTTGGATCGATGAAAGTTATGAAAAAGCCCCACTTATCGTCTCCTCCTACTACATGTAAATCAGGTTTTGTAAATTGTACATCTATCAGTCAGATTTCAACAGAGTTCCATAACCTTTCTAGCGCGTGATTATTAATTGTGTCAAACCCGCCATATATTGTTTCTTATCTCGCGAACATAAAAAGGTCGCATTCTTCTATACAAAGCAACTACACGACCGATATGCTTGATTGAGTTTTATCTAGGGTAAATAGGACACAATGCTCGCAAAAGTCATTTGTGGAGCCTACTCGTGCGTGACGGTTATACAAGTTCTGAGGGGAATTTTTGTATTTTTTAATATCAGCAGACTGGTAATTGTACAGGGAAACAAACCAGGAAGATTTACACCCGATTTTGCCTATTTATGAACATTTCCTGAATACATTGGCTTGTAATAAAATAAATATACGATTTTTGATGGAAACATTATTTTTAATACCGATTTTCTTTGAATTTTTCAGGAACAAGAGTGTATAGTCCACCGGAATGGGTTAAATATCACAGATATCATGGCAGGTCAGCAACAGTTTGGTCCTTGGGTATTCTGCTATTTGATATGGTGTGTGGAGATATTCCTTTTGAACAAGATGAACAAATTATCAAAGCCGAAATTACTTTTAAAGGCAGATTATCACAAGGTATGCATGGGTTTTCAAAATATTTTATTTTCATAAAGAGTAGAGCTCTATTGAATTCATAATAATAAAATTGACAAATTCTATTCAGTATTTCATAGCTCTTTTAATTAACACAATTATTTTATTATAAAGTGTGGGTTTTGTTTATATGTGTTTTCAATTTGTTTTTTTCAGAGGTGAAAAATCTTATTCGTTGGTGTCTTTCCATCCGACCTTCAGATCGACCCTCCCTTGAACAGTTATTAGAACATCCATGGCTCCAAGCTGGCATTCCTATCCCAAACGACAAAAGGATTAATACCTCCGATAATAAAGTGTTAGATGCTGCCTCTATGGGTAGTCAAGAAAGTGTCTAAAAGGGAATAAAGACTTTGTGATAAAAACAATTTTACCTGTGCAATGTGATGCTTAACAAAACAATGTGTTCACAGACAAGATCAAACTTTAAAAGTGAAAAAGTTAAAACTTGGAAGATAAAATACAACAATTATTGTGATATAGACTAAATAATTCACTGGTTTTGTCAGTGAAAAACACTGCCATTTCAATGCAAATCATTCTGTGTGAATTCCAAAGGATTATATGACAAAAAACGTGTCCAGCGCTTTTTTCTCAGCTCCAATATGGTTAAGCACCAGAATCCTCCAACCAATTTAATTTAATTAATTGGTTCTGGTTATATATAGGCAGCAATCAATGCAAAAAAACAACAATTGTCTGACTTACAATGTATCTCAGAAATGTGTAAAACTGTATATGAACGATTGTAATTTATTCAAATGTATAAGTTGTGCGTGTACGGGTATCAGTGGAACTGTTACTAGGTTAAACGTATTTTCACCGTTTTTTTTTGTGTTGGATAAGCCGGGAATGTTACCATTTGTATGTTATTGTATTTAGAGTTTTTGTCGTGAAATTGACTTTTTGAGTTAATGTAATGTTTAGTCAATGAACTCATTGGAGGAATAACTCCTTCTTATAATACATTGTATCATTTGGTTATCTATTAATTTATTAAATATCATTTTATCAATTCAACGAGCATCATTTATCATTTGTATATATAATATATATCTCACTAGTTTAAGTTATTGAAAAATGTCTGCATTGTGGTTTTTTTTTTTTTTTGTGAACATGTGAATTTTTGAAATGTGTGTGAAAATATGGTTGCTGTACAGAAGCTTGTGTATTTATTTGGCCGAAAATGAGCCTATTTGTGAATGTGTTGTATATAAATGTATTTTTATATCCAAATGAATCAGAATAAATTAAAATTTAATAATATATTATTGTCTGTTTTTCTACTTCCTGATATTGTAAAGGGTGGGAGATGAGGGGAGTGTCGAAGTCTTCAGATTGAACAAGCCAAATATTTAATGTACATGTAGCAAGACAGCATTTTAAAAACCAGTGATCGAAGTTGTAATAACCTTCTGCACCACGTTTAGATGTAATTGGCTGTGGCGTTAAGGGAGAGGGGGTGGGGTGGATGGCTGAATGAGTGAATGGTTAGCACGTGCGCGCTCAATCATAAGGTCTGTCATTGAGTCAACTGGCGAGGTTTCAATTCCCTGAGTCACCTGTCCAGTCTCGTGGGTTTTCCTCGGGTCCTACAGTTTCCTCCCACTGCTTAAGACATCTACGAGCAAGCGAATTATTGAAATAAAATTGATCCATGTGTTAGTCCTGAAATGGCCTAGTTTGTGTCGCTCTCTCTCTGTGGCTTTAATTAAAATATGACCTGTGCATAGCTAAGCATTAGTCTTCATCAAAGATAAAGAATTGGGGTACTATTTCATATGGGATAGTGTTGGGACCTTTTCTGCAACTTACCTTCCTGACGGAAATGTTATGGCTCTTTCAGAGTTATCCCGAAAATGGGCGCAAATGCCTGTGCAGTGTTGATGTGCAAGAAGCTCCCTATTGGATTGTCTAAATTAAAGCTCCCGAACCCATCTCAATTAATAGTTGGTACATCTTTCCAAACTGAAGACAATATATTGAACCACCTCTTCAAGTCTTGTAATTAGAAGATGACCAGAAAATGCAACATATTACATATCCCATCTTGGGTTATCCCGTCCATCTACTAAAGGAAGCTTTGGGATTATAGCAGTCTTATCAACTAGCTGCATAATAGACCTGTTGAACCCAAGTTGACTTTATTGTACTGGATTACTATGTTAAACAAAGTTACGTATTCGCGATATTCCACATCCAATATTCCATATCAGTATATTCCCTCATATTAAATGATAAACGTTTAACCTACTAACGACATTCCTGTAAAAATTAACTTCTAAGATGTCGTTTGCGAGCAAGTAAAGTTTACGAAACAAAGCACAATAAGATCTTTTTTTTAATCAGGCTTAAATTATAGTGACAAATATCAAATGTGCTACTCCTATTCTGCTGAAATACTCCATGACCTATATTGATGGGCGTGGTGGATACGTTGAGCTACAATCTCTAACTTTCTGTTGGTGTTTAAGTGCGATTACTTACAATGGACCATTAGTGTCAATGAGTGCAAACTTTACAAAATAAAGAAAAATAACAATAAAACCCAACTTTGACGAAACATTCTGTAAACACGAAACATAAATGAGTTCCTTCAATAAAGCGGATATATAATGTACAGGCCCATTTTGTACTTTTATCAGTATAAATACTATTAAATGGAATATTATAGACCTAAAGTAATAGAAGGGTACCATCGATTAAATTAAATCACCGCAGATTATCAGTTTATAGCCTGTAATCTGTATTTGTTTGATTTTAAAACTCTCTTATTTGCCCCCCCCCCCCCACCCCAACAAATAAAAAAAAAATCGCATCTCACCATAGTCTACAATCGCCGGTAAATTAGGGTCATTCCGGACATATTCGTATCGGTTTCTTGAACATTCGAATCACGACAAATCCGTACGCTGCCTTGGAATTTCTGGACAGAGGGTGGAGACTTTTCTTGGGTTAATTATTCGTTTAGTTTAAAGTTAGTCTGCTTTTATTTTTAATTTGTGTGGGTAAAAAATGAGAGTTGAATTTTATGTTCGGTATTGGTGGGGATCTGACCTATCTGTCATGGATTGATCAGTGACTGTTCCCGGTGGGGTCAGGTGGTACAACACATGAGGACTATCAAAATGTAATCTGAGTCCAAACAATCAGACCCCACATTAGCCTATAGTCTACCCAGGATGGTACGAGATAACAGACTTAGCCTATTGGAAAGATATTTGAGTCAACGATATGATGACCAGTCAAAGTCAGAAGATTAACATAGTTGTCATTCGTCTAATTCTTGTATATCTATAGAGGTCTATACTTATTATAAATATCTATGCTTATACTAATATCGCGTGGGAATCGTAAATCGTTCAGTACCGCTCGATTCGTGTTCCATTGTAATTTTCATTTGGATGACGTAGCACGCCGACAGCTAGCTATCACGTGGACTAAGTCAAGGCCATTGTTTCATTTTATCTATATTTTATCTATAAGATGGTTTGTTTAAATGTTTCAGATATTACTATAAATGATTATTAAATGAAACGTTTCAGGTCATTGTTTGCAAAAAATGCTTTCCTTTTGTTTGTGCTTCACCGATTTTAACATCAGACCCATCGACAGGCGACAGTAGGCCTATCTGAAGTCGGGAGGATTTAAGAAAGTAGCCTAATGTTTTAAGTTAAACGAGAGAGAAAAAAAATAAAAAGTAAATAAAGACACAATAAAGTAAGAAACTATTTTAGTTAAAATAAGCGACCAATTTTGAGTAAATTATTAACTTAAATCTGAGAATGTTTTGTGAACTCGGGGCCTGTTACCTTTAAGGGCATCCGTTCCCAAAAGCATGAGATTTGGGTATTTGTCAAAATATACGATGATAATTTTAATTTTTGTATTTTTTCTCATTTTAAATGATGATCTTGACGAAATTACAATTGGGAAATTATGATAACCCGCGCAAAATCCCAGGAAAATATCTATTTATAGTTCGCCCGCACTTAGCACCCATTTACTGTTTAATAACCTATACACATACGATATGGACTGTGATTTGTTACGTCATTTTAATTTGACTATTTTCTAGAATACCCGTTAATTACCATGCTGTGGTAGTCAGGATCGAATCGACTCGAGATTTCCCTTTAAGCTAATGGGAGCCGTGGTGACTGGCTCCTTTGAATATTGATGTAGTAAGACGCTGGCCCGCTAACCAAGTCTCGGATCCAGAAAAGATCCTCGGAATTTCCCGGTGTAGTCTCCCCATGTCAGCGGTGCAGGAATGGGGGAGGGGGACTGGCAAACATTGTCCAGTCACTCGGATGGCACAGAAACCTAAATCCCAAGTACACATTGCGTGCACGTATGAGAACCATTGGCAATTGAATTGCTATATAGTCGGGCGTTAAACCTCATCTCATTTCCATTTAAGCGTAATATTTGTAACCCACACCTCAGTGCACGCGTAATGTATACCAGTTTCAAAATGACCAAAGTATTATGTGACGTTAACAACACCCTTCCATTTCCACAATATGCACACATGATAGATCTGAAGAAGAAGAAAAAAAAAATCCATCGGCTGTTTTTATTTGACATTTTTAATTAACGAATTGATAACGGTATCTATGTTAAATGCGAAATTTCTCGATTCATCCATGGTTTTATGTGATTGATTATATAGTGCTCAAATAAAAAAAAAAAAAATAAAAAAAAAAAATCATATTAACAATCAAAAACGAAATTTGTTACCAACGTTAACGGTTGGCCGTTTTGTTTGTATAATTAGTGGAATGTTAATCTTCTCTAGTGCCCGATTAATCCAAATCTCCTGCGAGTGAAAATGGGATTAGTTTTGTTCAGTTTGGGTTTGTCTTTACGGTGATTGAAACTGTGGAATGTTATAGTTTATTGCTAAACTTTCTATTGTGCATTGGTGATTACATTAACCTTGGAAATGACTCCACGCTAAGTCGATGTTCACGTTGATACTTATTTATTCAACTGGTAGTTCAATCGGTTTGTTATTAATTTCACACTTCATTTCCCAGTAGGTATTTTGTTATTGTTTTCCATTCTTTGTCCACGAGGGGCGAGGTTAATCTAACGATAAGGCAATGAGCTTATTTGATTGTTATATCACTAGGCCCATTTCGTCACCTGTGACGTAATAGCCCATTTCATCAAAGAAAATTTACTGTCTAAATCGTGGCATTATAAGCGTCATTGATGTATTAACCATTGTCCGCCACTGTCTATCTTCAAGTCGACACCCCGTCACCATATTCATGCTTTTTAATCCCTTCGCTGGTCATTTATCAGCTTTGTGCGACAATATAGATACCATTGAAGAAAGGGATTTTTGTCACTTAAGAGTTACATTTGTTTACAAATTATCCTATGACTACATAGGGACGGTGGCGTTACATAGTGAGGAAGCTTATTGGACTTGAAGGCGTTAATGCAACACCCATTACTACCATTCCGTCTGTAGATGTAATAACGGTCATAAATTTCGAATAATGGTCCAGCTAAAGTTATAATTATTATAAATTACTGCTGTGTATTTTCTTAAAATGTAAAGCAAATTAAATCTCCCGCAGTCGGAACATCTTGACCCTGCTCTCTTCTTGCCATTGTTAGGCGATTACTGTATGATCAAGAAACCAATTAAATGTCCATCTAAAGAAAAACAAACAGCACACATTAATTTTTTTCAGAATAATTATATAATTTATTCTTCAAAGTTAGACAATTCCCTTGAATAATTAATGGAGTAATGCCTTTGCAGATTCATGACCTCAAGCTTGGTTATATAAATTTCAAAAAACGAAACAACAAAAACACAAAAATAATATTGAAGATATAATAAAAGCTGCCGTAACGAGTAGTCGTTGTTGTTGCTTAAGGCTTTACGTCCGCTTCTACCTTGGGTAATATTGCAGACAAGAAAACGAGTAGTCTAACATATCCATTTTATATACCGAATGCGCAATCTTTATTCTTGAAACATCCGCATGTCTCAACGACGTACATTTATAACCAATAATTCCGTCCACAATGACCGCAAATACGTTATGGTGACCTTGGGGATTTAAATAACATCCGTTTATAAGTTAATAATATATATTGTAAACACAGACTGTTGTTTGGCGATGTTTACGTGATGTATTTCAATTATATATACATGTATACCGCCTCGTTTGGTTCGGTGTGGAATAATTACGTTAGAACCTCTATCTATAGTCCCGTACACTAAAGTCGAATATCTTTGC